GGGGTCAGTTTACCGAAAGTTTATTTTAACTATATTTAACTATTTGAGGTGTTCGTAACTATTTGAACGTTTATTACCTTATACGTAACTATTTGATACATTTTTCAAGTTTTTTGGTATGATTTAGCATAAAACACAAAGAAAATCACAACTTAATTTACATTTGTTAGTTAGAAAAAAAAATTAGATAGAGTAAACTATGACAAATGTAAAGGTTATTATAAAATATTGCAATAATTTATCATTCAAAGCGATGGTATGATCAAAATTATAAGTTATATGTATTTAGGGTTTTGACCAAAATAATTCAAAATATTCTTAACAACAGTTAATTTAGTTAAATACAAGTGATTTAACTTAAAAACAGTTATATTTAATGTATTAAAGAGTGCAACTGACATTTGGTAACATTTTATATAATTTTGAAGCCTATTTTGTCAAATTATAAGTAACTATTTGAGTAACTATTTGGGGTGTTTTTTGTACCTATTATAGTGACTATTCGGGGTCTTATAAACACCTATAATGCAATTCTCTGTTTATGACTAAAAATAATGCCAAACAACATAATAATTGTTTAATTAAAGTGCAAATAAATAATAATATATTAACAATAGTACTGTATACTGTAGATCAAATAATTATTTGGATGGTGCAAATCCATACCTATTATTGCCAAAATCAAACTCAGTATAATAGGGACCGATAAACACATCGCCTAATATCCAAAGGGGACCCAAAGGGAGCGTAAACTCTTCGCCCGCAATACCGGACAGACATTGAATATTGCCGTTCAGTCCTAACTGTTTGTATACATATTGCGATGCTTTCAATGGGAACTCCTTTCCGCCAATTGTGAACGTAATGTCAGGTAATGTATTAATAGCACTACAATTGACCTCATAATTACCATCACCGATATTTACGCCACCAATCAGCTCATTGATAGCGTTGGTCTCTTTTATAGGACCGATAATCAGTGAAGTGCCGGTGTCTGCGATGGCCTGACAATTGGGCAAACATAGCTCACCCTCGTACATTCCCTCAACCCGTACTCTGTCCATGATGAATTACCAATAGCCCTTTCGGGTCATCGGCACGTACGTAAAGTTACCGGTATAATGATTATGGTCAGAGCCGCCGAGTATAAGCTCTCCGCCGGGCCTTCCCTTCACGTCTCGGTTCAGATAAAAGGAGAAGACCGGCGCCGACACCACTCCCTGTGCTATCATGTGCTGAAACGTTGTGACTACATTGTCTACCGAAAGCTGTTGGTAAGCCATACCAATTATGCCATCAAAACCACCCAGCACAAACGCCGGACCGGGTACTGAAGTCATCTGTGCAAATGTCTGATTATGTACTTTACCGGTGCCTATGATTAGTGTATCGGTGCTGAGATACTCTTTGGCAGTGCCCATACCGTATTTAATTGAAAACGCTGTACCATTTTTAATATAGGTTGATGATTTTGCTGAATAATACTTGCGCATGATGTACATTTTGGTGACGGCACCCATAGGTTAGAGCTGCCCGTATCAAATAGAATCTGTGTGAAAATAGATCTAGTTATTAAAATATAATTGTATTAATTTTTATAAAACAATTACTAAATATTTAATAAATAATGAAATAAACTTTATGTGCATACACTCCAGTGTTAATAAAATGTTGTGAATAATTATTGTTTTATTCAACATTTAATTTTAAACTACAGTTTAATAAAATTGTATATTTTAAAAAACGTTAAACAACTTTATTTTTAAATTATATTAATTTTTATATCATTGTACTATTGACTATTGTAATTAATTCTTTTAATTTATTTAAAAACTTTGTTTCTGAAAGTCATATTTTATATTAAGTTTATTAAATAAATATTGTTATTTAATTAATAATAGTAATTGTTAAATATATGATATTCAATTTTCATAATATAAAAATATATATTACATTTATTGTTTTGATTTTAATATTTCAGTAATTTAATATATGTTACAATTTAAATAGTTATTTTTATATAAATTTATAAATTATAAAAAATGAATTTAAAAAATTAATAAAAACTTGTCTGTCTTGCTTACTCCCAAATAAAATATTATTTGTTTAATTGTTAATATAGAATTTATATATAGATTAAAATTACAGTTGGTAAAATTTTTTTAAATATAAGTAAAACATTATCAACAAAATTGTCATTACCATGTTTACCATTTTAAATTTTTAGCGCCAGTTGTGCTTCAATGGCTGTAATCACTTAACTGGGGCTATAAATGACTGGTGTTTTCTATAACATGACAACTCACTGCCCGGTTGACCACTGGTTACCCCAACACTAATTTGTATATTTTTATAATTATTATTAATAAATTGCGATTAAAAATAGTTGTAGATTTAATATGTAATTTTAATAATGTATATAATGTAAAATAGATAATTAATTGACTAATAGATACCAATTAATATTATAAATTTTTCAACATATTTAATTTATAAGATATATTGATTTATAATACAGTTTTGTAGGAAAATCTATTGATTAGTAATACAAACATCTAATAATATTTTAATTATAACAATGTTTTCAATTAATAATAATAATTATACATTATTTCTGCATAATGGTAGATTTTACTAAATTAATTATAATATATAATTTATTATAACGCATGTGAATAAAACGTGTTAATAAATTTTTATTTAATACATCTAATATATTGATATAAGTATATACCATATGTGTGGTATAAGCGGGCCTTCACCACGGTCTCGGGAAGCCGAGGCCAGTAGTTTTTTGTGGCCTGGAGGGTGTGCCGGCTATTGGTGTAGACCACCGTTTATGTGC